TGGCTGTACAGTCATGGTGGGGTCAGCAACAGCACAACTTCTGCCACTTGTTTTCTTCACAAAATAAAGCCAATTCCTGCTGCTAACTGCAGATCCAAACTGGGAACAAAGTCATTCCACAGCAAAGAACAATAGCTTAAAAAAACAAGCAGGATCAGAAGGGGGCAGGTGTCAAGGCATTAGGGTCTGCTTTAGTATCCTCTCATGTGGCAAGCGTGCTACAGTCCAGGTGATGGGCTCTTGAGATCATCAGTTGTTCTCCTCATCACTACAACAGCTGAAAGTGGCTTTAAACGATTTTCTTTTCTTGCTTCTCCATCGCTGATCCCTTTTCTTCCTCCTGCTTGCTGCCACTGAGAAATGAATCATGGTTCGTAGTGATGACTGTGTTCTCAGCCTGAGAAGCAGATGCTGGGTGTTTGGTGCCTATGTTATATATTGCGGACACCCCACTCATAAGACACACAGAAAAGGTGCCAAAGCAGCTCAGACCCAAAGGTCTGTCTAGCCCACTATTCTCCATCAGCCTGGAGCAGGGTCTAGGGAAGAAAAGCATAAGAAACAGGATAAGGTTGGAGGGATGCTTCCCCTGCACATCCTCCAGCTTCAGCTGTCAACAGATTAACTGTTTCCTAAACCTCGTGATACATTTAGTTACTGGGGACAGGGTAGACGGTCCGATCCTAGTGCAAAATTCCCCAATTGCTTCTGCCTAACGAGCACCTTGCCTCAATCAGCTCCAGGGAGCTGCTAAGAATAAATAAATAAATAAAGGGTGGGGGTGAGGAGAAAGCTGAGATATCCGGCTTTGGAAGTGGGCTCTTCTGTCTGAGGCCCCGAATGGTGAGGTTTTGGGGTAGCCCATTGCTACTAGGTTTTAAGCATGTCTTTTATGGCTTTTTCTTTTTTTTTCCCTAGTCAAACAAGCCGCAAATGCCACTAACAAGTTTCCTTTATGCCTATTTCCGACGTAAACTAAGAGCAAGTCTGCTGCAGGCTTCCCCTGAGGTCTCCCACCGCCTCCCAGGGGCCGCGGGCACCTGGAGCCACGCCAGGCGCGGGGTGCCCAGCGCTTCGCCCCAGCGCCGGCCCCCTGGCCGGGCAGGGTGCTCAGCACCCCGCTACTCGCTGCAGAGACCTCCCGGCCAGCTTTGAGCGATGCTACCACTTGGCAATAACCCTTATGCCTGAACAAGGGCCTGTTAATTCCCACTGATGCCTAATGATTGTGGCTGGTCACGCCGGCACCGTGGTAAGGCATGGTTTTTCAGAAAATCCCAGTAATGTCTCGAAAGCAGGCTCACTGACGTTGTTTCAAATTGATTGTCCCGATCTCAAAACGTTCCACATCAACGGTGACTTGAAGATCTTTAGGTTGAGGTTTTTGCTGTCACGCGACCCCTGTTGCACGCGCCCCCCTCGCTGAGCCCACCGCCTCGTTCTGCCTCCTTCTCGCACTGCGTCTCCCTTTACTTCTTCCTTGTAGAAATTTCCTTCCTGATCACTTCTCTGAGCTTTGGCATACCACCTCCCGCTGCGCAGCAGCGCGTGACCAGGCTGGGTGACGGCGGGCGCGTGCACGGCAGGCGTCCCGGTGTGTTTCTGGAGTGCCGGCTCTTGGCACGGGATCCAGCGCGTTTCATTCATCCAGAGTTGAGGGCTGTGGCACCGAGAAGCTTGACTCACCATTTACCCTGTGAATGGTGCAGCCCGTGGTTGTCCCGTTTCTGTCAAGGAAGCTATAAGCAGGCAAGTTTTCTTCAGTTTTATTTTTTAAAAGATGCAAGGCATGCATCATTTCTGATGGGGAGGTGGGCAGAGTAAAGCCTGTGGTTAACTCAGAGCACCCTACAGGTCTGATTGCACTTTCCAAACCCATTTCCATCCTTGGAGAAAAGGCTTATTGTGTTTAAGAAAGGCATTTAAACTGAAAGCAGCTGGGGAGAGGCTGTGAACAGCAATTCCATTTTGCTGCTGTCTCCAGTCCTGATAAAACTCCCAGGGCAGTTTTCTCCAGCACTGGCGCTCAGACACCCTCCAGGGACCGACCTGCTGCCCGGACGCTGTCCGGGGGCACGGCCAGCCTGCAGGTCACCCGTGCCACCGGGTAACCCGGCACAGCTGCCTGGGGCTGTAGAGGAGGTGGCACCGCTCGCCTGCTCCTGGGGGCCCTTGGCAGCAGCGACCCTCCAAGCCCTCTCTCGAAGGCCGCCCAGCACAGTTACAGCCTTCTCTGATACAGAAGCCTGCACAGGAACGAATACAGCGCAGATGATTTGATGTATTCTCTCCAGGTCAATACCAATATAATTAATCCAGTACCTATCACATTTTTCTCCCATCCAGTCAATGCAGTTTCTTGTATATCAGCAATACTTCTGTTTCAAATCATGATTATATTGCCAGTGTCTTCTTTTTTTTTTTAAATCATTCAGGATTATTTTCTTCTGCCATCTTCTGGCAAAATGAAAAATCGCAGTGTTTCAGTAGCAGCAGTGTTGCTATGCTGTTCTAAGGCAAGGGTTGTCATTAAAGGTAGCAGGTAACCAGGTCAGAACAGAACAGTTCAGAACAGAACAGTCTGTCAGAACAGAACAGTTTGGCATAAACAGAAACAAAATATAGCCCTTTATGCATGTTTGACAGCTTGTCTAATTCTTCCAGCTCTACCAGTTGGTCCAGTAGAAGTGTTTCAGTGGTTATCGCAGAGCAAAATGTCTTTTTCAGACCTTGTTTCTTGAATGCATTTAAACAGCAGAGGAGAGCTGCAAAACGTGAGGCTTCGTCGGTTTACCCTACGTTTTATAACAGGACTGCATGGAGTGTAACATAAATACTTTGAAGAGGCGTCCTTTTTGCCAAATTTGCTCTCAGGTCTTCATAGCTTATAAACAAAACACATCTTTTTTTCCCCATGAAACCAATGGAAGATCTTGTCGGATAGGCATGTGAAGATTTTCCTTTGATTACAACAGGTAGAAGGTGTTTCTTTCTGATCTCTCAATATAAGCACCACAAATCATGCCAAAACACCTTAAATAATTTGCTTAATTCTAAAATAAGCCATTTTGAATATTTTGTTTAAAATGTATAAAAGATTCATTTTTTTCGAAACCAAGTTTTTCAAGATTTTTAACACGAAGCATTACCAAAACTAAAAAAAAAACAAAACTGTTCCTGATTTTTTTCTTTTCCTGTGATTCATTGTAAATGACCAGCCTTGATCCCACTCTCCTATAACATAGCTTTTCCCATATATTTTTTTGCTAAAATATGTGAAAGTAAATTCATACTTATTAAAACAGGGGGGGAAAAAAATCCAACATGATAAAATGCCAATCTTTTTCCTCTAAATCAAATCAAGATTCTGCGCCAGTAAGAAAAACTACTCACAAAATTCCAGCCTACAAAGAACATTAAAAAAAAAGCTGTTCAAAGCTTTGCGCAGTTTCCCGAACACCAGCAAAAATGACTGCTCAGGATGCCAGGCATGGGAGAGAAAGGATGTTAATGCTATTCATAGCTCCTGGATGCCTCCCGTCACTGGCACACCTGAGCAGCTCACAATCCTTAATGTATTCTTGCTCGCAGCGACTTTCTCGGGCGGAGGACAGCCTTCCCAGGGCGCTGCTGGAGGCAGCGGGGTTTGCTTTGGCAAAAAACGCATTGCTAAATTATGCAGCCTGTTCCCATGCTGTCTTTTAAAACTCGCCTCCAGCAGGCGCAGCCTCCGGCGAGGTTGCGCCCGCTGCTGCCTGCGCCCGACTCGCACTTCCCACCGGCCAGCAAAGGCAGCAGGAGCTCCCTGGTGGTCCCGGGACGAGGCTGCCTGCAGGCCCTGCAGAGGGGCTGCACACCCCGCTTTACCCTCCCACTGGCAGCTCACTTTCGCGCTGGTTTAGCTACCACCCCCAGGGCCAGAGAGGAGTAACAGGAAAACCGCCCCCTCACTTTTCTTTCTTTCTTTCTAGACCCACAGACCCCTTCCAGACCTAAGGTCTCCCCTTAGCTGTTCTTGCATATCTCCTCTGTGACCCACTTCTTCGTGACAAACTGTTGGCCTGTTTAAGAAATTACTTTATCAAAAAACAAATCATGACTTTAAAGTCAGCAGTCAAAAACGTTAAAGAAAAAACACTGACTCTCCTCCAGTAAAGCTGACTGTCCCTGGAAAGGTCTATGAGATGTCTGAAGAGCTTAAGTGCCAAAATTAATCTTCCACCATAGAGTTTTGAAGCCCTTTCAGTATTGATTCCCCTGCAAAGAGTTTGTGTCAACTTTATAAAAAGGGCCCTTTCTCAAATGTACCCTTTCAAGCAAGGTAAGGAAAAAAGAGCACTTCACTGCTTACATTAAAAGTGCAGGGAGAGACAACTCTGAGGAATATCAACAACCTTTTACTTGTGCCTTCAAATATTCTGGAAGTTGCAAGCTTGACAGCATTGTCAATTTTATATTGACAGCAGCAGTCAGACAAAAATCAGTTGAGTAAATCAAGGAGAAGGCCAAAAAAAAACCCTTTAATCCACAGTCACACAAATCCATACTGCCTGCAGAAGGGCAAGTGCTTTGGAGGCCTTTTTAACAGCAATATATTAACTTCCTTGTTTGCCTTTCCCAATGCTACCAAGGCATTTTTTTCCCCTCTCACAGTCTGGTCTCTTCAACATCATTTGTGTCAGAGCTGCCCATAGCTTATCCCTATTGACAGCCTGCAACACCGATGAAATCTCAGCACAGCTCTGGCTGTGACAGTCCTCGCTGAACCGTTATCAATACCAAGGTCACTCCACTTTTCTTGCTCTCCCTGCAACTCCTCTGTCCTCAGGGTTACGGGGTGCCCAGGGACACTTTCTGCCTGAGCACATCACAAGCCACAGCCTCTGTACTCCCTTTCCGCCGTTACGTAAGAGGAGAGCGAAGTTTCTACTATCAGAAGCATTTAGCTGCATGGTGATTTTGTGCTCTCCCGATTACAGCATACGGCACAGCTCTGACTGCTGGTGGCAGGACTTAAAACTACAGCGATTTTAATTCAGGGAGAAGCAAGGATATAGTCAAGATGTGTCAAGAGAGACAGTATTTTGGTTTTTTTTTTTAATTCCTAGCCGTGACACAGGGCTAGGACAGGCGTGCCCTGCAGAGCACTAGCAGAGCAAGCGCCACCGGGGGCTTGGCAGATACCACAGCTGAGTCGGGAGGTATGGTAGGAGCCTGTGGAGGGCAGCGCTGTCTTGCTGGGGATGGTGCATCGAATAGCTCAGAGATGCCAACTGCTAAGGTAACGCTGCTTTTTTCTCCTTTGAATCTGAAAGCTGCAGACTGCAAAGCTGTCTTCCGGCTACGGCCATACCTGTCACTGCCAGCAGTGAGGGCTCCCCGTGTTTCCACCCCCCCTTGCCTTCAGAGCACCCTCCCCTGCCGCGCTGCCCGGGGTCCGGCTGCCGGGGAGAGCATCCTTTGGTTCCAGATAAATGCCCCTGCCCTTGCTGGACGCAGAAATATCGGGTCACGGGCAGGAGCGACATTGCTGATGAGCACGAAGCCCTGCCCGGGGAGGTCAGGCCGAGCAGCTGATGCCCCGTGCTGCCTCGGTGCCTCGGAGCCAGCCGAGCCGAGGGCTGGCACCAGGGCGGCCTGCCGGGCTGCTCCCCGCTCTCTCCCCACGCTGCACTGAGAGAGGAGGCTGTGCTTTCCAGAGCCCTCCACCTGGCGTCTTGCCCAGGTAGTAAAATCTCTTAAAAAAATGAACCAAACAGAGCTTTAATTGTACATTCTGCTTTTCTCTTCACTCCAGAATAATGGGAATGGCATTAATGCAGCACTGCACTGCCCACATACCCGCGCTGAGGCAGAGGGACTGATCCTGCCTCCCGCTACCCTGGGGCACTGCCTCTGGCGAGGCAGAGCGGGGTTTGAGCAGCGAGCAGGAGCAATGAACTTCTGCTGTTCCCTGCTGTTTGAGCGTGGGCAAAATAGAAGGCCGTAATATATGATTCAGTCAGCCAAGAAAGCAATATTGCTCTGCCATGTGCACGGTCTATACCGAGACGAGTCCAGGATCTCATTTCAAAATTCCCACTGGTGCCTCATTTAAACCATCAGCCATAACCTGCATCTCATTTCCAATACCACTTGGTATTAGTGCTGCAGCAAACTGCTGGTGAGAGAGTCTAATTCCTGCAAACAAGCCCCTGTAGGCTTGCAAGGAAAACAGAGAGTTCCCCTCTCAGTTGCCTGCTAGGTTCCCATCTGGCTGTTTTAACTTTGCTATTGCTTTTAAATGTGCCTGTTTCTGCACACAAGGCTTTCAGCTCCACCTCCAGAGACTCCTGGGCTCGCTGAGTGTCGGATTCGAGCCAAAACATAGAGACACAGATTGGATCTTCTTAACAACAACAAGAAAAAAGATTGGATTTCACATTACAGTATCTGAAAGATTAATTCCACTTACATGATCATTTCCCTGTGAACCACGCTTCTTTCCATCTGGATTTTTCCATCAGGAGGACAAAGAGCCATAGTGTTAAGCACTACCTAAGAGAAAACAGCAAGGGGTGTAAAAGATGAGTGCAGAGATGCTTACTCGGAAAAAAAAGAGAAGGAAAAATGGGGCAGAAAGTAATTTCAAGCACATCAGTAGGCTTTTCTGTTTGTTTTTCCAGTGAATTATATCCTGATCTCATGCTTTGGTATTCTAAGCCATTTAGTTCTTTGGGTTTTGTTTCAGGGATTTTAGGATATTTGGCTGCAGGAGCTCTCTATATCATGTTATTGTTATTTAGTGTTTGTGTTACTGTAATAACCATAGGTCCAGCCAAAATCAGTGCCCTGCTGTGACTGAGGCTATGAACAACCTAATTTAAGATCTTGAAAGACACCTGTCCCCATCTGGGCTGTCATGATAACCACAAGTGGATCTGTGCCAGCTAGGAAAGCGCTAGCAAAAGGGGTAGACGAAACACAACCTGGTTGTTATGGCATTACTTTGGGCCCTACTAATGCTCTGTCATAGCCTCCTCTTGGGATTTCAGGAGACATGGTAACAATCCATGGCAAAATGGCAAGAGGCCTTCCCCATGTTGCAGAAATGGAGACTAGGGCTATGTGAGTAAGTGGCTGCTTGGTTAGTTTGTGTTCATTTTTAGTTGAACAAAATATGTTTTTCTCATCCAGGAACAAACCACTTCATCTCATTTTCATATTTTAAAAGATTTTATGGCATGCTAAAGTAAAATTCCAAAACAAAAGTAATTTTGTAAAGAAAAAATGGAAATGGTGATTTTTTTGGAAATGCAAAAAAGAACTATTTCAAACCCACAATATTGGAGCGTTTGCTTTCTTTTTCAGAACTTTGCTGAGTTTTCTTTGACTGGAATCTGCCAATGCAACACAAATCCTTAAAACGCTTTAGACAATTCAAATCTGTGTGCATTGTGGGTTTTTGTCTTTTCTTTGCCAGAAAAAATCTTCAGTAGAAAACGGCAATTGTTTCTAGTGCAGAAAAAAGAAAATCCTTGCAGACTGTGCAGACTCAAGTGGCAGGATAATATCAGAGGCAGGCAAGCATCTCAGTGAGGTTATTGCAGACAAGGTCCCGGACTGACCGAATCCCTTGGGAATAGCACCCAGCTGCCCCCTCCTTCAGCTGGCACGGTGGAGTCAGCCGCTGTGTTTCCTGGGGCTCCCTGCAGCTCAGCAGTGCTGTGTACCTGCACCCCTGCTAGCATCTGCCTCTGAGGTAAGGGTGGCTCTTGTGCCTGTCAGGGAAATCCCAAACACTGCAGGTCAGATGTGGAGCCCAGCTGGCCCTGGCCCTTTGGGGTGCACCCCAGCGCTCTGGGCATTTGGGAACCAAAGCTGAACAACAGAAGGGACTACCAGCGTTCACCGCCTTGCATTCTCCCCACAAAGTAAGCAGGTTAATCCATCTGGATGGCACTTAGAGTCTCTGCCCAGGCTCAAATGTCTCCTATAGGCAGAAGTTCTTCTAAAAAAAGGGGAAAAAAGGAGAGAGGAAGAGAGAAAGAATCAAGTGAGATGGTCTTTAAGTACTCACAGACTACAGTTTAAGACGGCAAGTAATCCTCCCTGACTTGCTAGATCCTGGCTAGATCTCTGCAGAAGCCGTTAGTGACCTTGTAAGAGAGAATTTCTTTTCCGATTAAAGGGCATCCTACCATCCTACAGCTGCTGACTGTTTCCAACTGGAGCAGCTTCTGTGAGCCACCCAGAGGGGCAAGCTTTGAGAAATGTAATCAGTGGTGGTACTTTTGCTAACTTTGCAGTATCTTAAAGAAGAAGGGTGATTCGGGAAAACCTTCAGCAAAGTCCCTGGTCTTCAATTAAAAAATTCATATTACTTTCCTCATTAGTGCAATCATCTGGTATAGTTATTTCCAAGCTTACCCTGAAGGCCCTGCAGAGTAATTCAATTCCAAGGCCAGCGCAGCACAGAAGAGAGCTGCGGCTGGGAGGAGTCATGCTTCATGTTGAGATGAGGAGCTCACTTGTCTGGCATTAGTCATGTGAAGCAAATGATGTTGACACACTTTTGGGGAAGGAGCTGCAGTATGAAAGGGAGCTCTGTTGCAGAGCACCTCACTGGCTGCGAAGGCTACAGTCGCCTGCTCACTTTCACCGGCACCAAACAACCCAGTTCCTCGAGGCCGCAAGAGCCTCCCCAAAGTCCAGCCTTGAACGAGAGGCCTGGCAAAGTAATGTCTTTCCCCCTCTACTACAGATTATTATTATTGTAACAAGCTCACAGGCTGCAACAGAACTTTAAAACGATGGGGACTAGAGCAACTGAAAATTTAGCATCCATCTGCTTCTCTCCACTTCAGCTTTTAAACATCTGCAGCAATTGAGAGTCACCCACACCCCTTGAAGATTAGCCTGTGGTCTTATGAACCTCCTGGAGTAGAACCTGTATTATCTTTTTCTTGATTTCCTTTTACTGCGTCAAGTTAATGTTCTGTATCAGTGAAAGTACAAACAGGTCATCATAAAGATGCTGGCAGTAGCTTTTGAGCACAGTGCCTGACTTTTGCAAGGCAGTAAAACTTGCTGGACAATGCACAATATCCTTTTCTGTGCTATTCCTCATGTTAATTTGTGCTGGGATTGCACAATGTACTCCTTTACCATCGGTCTTGGTGTTACAGGCCTTGAAAAATTCGTAGGATGCTATCCCTGTATTTCTTCTCTGCTTCCCTGAGTTATTCGTATGCAATTCCTTTTTCTTAATCTTTAAAAGTAAGCTTTTTTCCCCCTCTCTCCCATCATTTTTATTGTGCTTTCCGTATTTTGCTTATTAAGTAGTTACCCTAGGGAGACTTCCTTTTTACTGGAATATACAAAAAGCTATAACTGCTCTTAACATTTGCGTGGAGGAGGAGGGAGAGGGGCGCAGGGGAAGCAAATTCAGGCTGAGGTCACAGAAATATATATGGTGTGTTCAATAACATGCCTTGCATCATCTGTATTTCTTTTTCTGTAAGCAACAAGACTTTCTGCTTATGCTTTCTGCTTATGCCCCAAATCAGCCTATACTGTTTTAAAGGAACCTGGATGTTTAGATAAAGTTGTTGTTGTTGCTTTAGGAGCAATATCTGTGTTGCCGATGTTGCTGTGGGACAGGGGACAGACTGGGTGACTTCTAACAGTCCCTTTTGGGCTTGTTTTCCAGACCTGCTAAGTGAATACCAAAATGCTAGATTTCGGCATTCAGGTATTAGAATGAGAGTTGAGGTCACGTCACCTTTTGCAGAATAAACGCAGGCCACCCCACTTTGGGAAGATTTCTAGTGCAGCTCCCATATTCACCACAGCTTTAAAACCAGCAACCAACCAAACAAAACCCATCCATTTTCTCTGGAGGCGAGAATAGCAATTCAGGATAATGAGATCTTATTGGCATGAGAAATGCTGCTGAGGTCTAAGAGGAGGGACTAGGTGGATATCTGAACTCTTGCTGTTAACAAAGTTTTGCTTCAGGCTGGCCTGAGCTTCCTGGATCTAAAAAACAGCACGTTATTCTTTTAAAAGATATTCAGATTCATCAGAGACCCACTGAATAAGGAGTAAACACGCAAGATTTTTGCATTAGTAACAGCAAACAGCATTGCAAAAGGGACCCACACATTGAACGGCGCAATCTGTGAGGGAGCAAAACAGCCTCGGACAGGATTCTCGACAAGCCAACAGAGCCAGGACTTTCAGCTCTAAAATTTTCCAAAATTCAGATCCTCCTTCTTCTCATATTCCAGGTACCTAAGTACCCTACGCTTCAGATGAGAGAGCCAGTCTCTCTCTAGAGGCAAATAGCTATCACATTATTTATACAAAGTGGAACAGCTCCCACAGGAGAGACTGAGACAGACACAGGTATACCAGCATAGCTGAGTGTTCACTGGTATTTGCCTGAGACGCAGAAAAACATGGTTCAGCTTCTCTCTGTTTTTGTTTACATACACATATGTGTACATATGCACGTGAAAATTATTTCATAATTATACATAAATGTATTCATATGTGCACACATGTATAAATACACTCCTATAATTGAAAGAAAATCTACATACATAATTTTATATATGTACGCACACATGCACACTATGTTATACACACCGAAATTTCCCTGTCAGCCCTAGAAGCCTTGTGAGCATAAGTAAATCCAATGATTTCATTACGTCAAAAACTTCCCGTTTTAACTCACAGGAAGCAAAGCGCGCACAAACACTGCAGTTACTGTCCGACATAAAGTGCTAGAGCTTTCCTGTATTACACTCCTCAGCATTACAGTAATAGAAATAATAACTGCATCTATGAAGTTCAGTCACTGCTGCATTCAGGTGGCACAGGACTTTCTTTTTCAGCAGCATTGCTTGACAAGAAATTAAATCATACTGTCTTAGGCTGCTGCTTTCTCGGGGGATGAATTACATGCCTGTAGAGTCATAGCACAGAGCCAGTCCTGCTCTCTGGATGCTTTCAGCAACACCTGCAGGCCCTACTGCACACACCAGTTATAAAAACGTAATGCTATTTGGAGGGTAATGAACAGGACTACTTTCTAGGGAATATTATTTCCGTATGAAAACTTCCTCTTAATTCATTTCAGAAGAGCTCTCTCTGATAAAACCTGAGCGTGTGCAAGAGAGGAGCAAGAATGCCTCACACCAGGGACTGCTCTGAGCCGAGCAGCGCAGGGGACCGAGCTTCCTACGAGACGCCAGCGCTAGCAGACCTCCAGCGGCTCTTCTGGTTCAGAGGAGGGTCTGATAATCACGTGGACCAAGTCTGGCCAAATATTTACCTGGGAGATGCGTAAGAACATATGGTGTATTATTAAGCCGTTACTGGTCCCGGGGAGGAGGAGGAAGGGACGCAGCACAGGGAAGAGCAGCTGTTGGGTCTAGAGGAAAGTCTCTGCAACACCGGTTTCCAAAACTGGTAACACAAGGAGTTTGGATGCCAGCAAAAACATGATATACAAAAGCGTAACTTACTCACAGTCTATCTGAGCTGGGTTTCCATGAACCACAGTGGATTTTAGCAGGGTAAGAATTGTCTGTGCTTGAGACAAAAGTGCTTACAGGACCCACCCGAAATTGGTGGCAATTGTGACTGGCGCTGTGCACTGAGAAGCATTATCTGCCCTGAGAACTGCGCTCAAAGGCAGGCAGGCAAGGACACAGCAGCCGTCACATTCAAATAGGACTAGCGGGATCAAGAGCCAGTTTGAGGAGAACTCAAATGAATTATACCGCAGGGATTTTGCCAGTGCAGATCCAACTCTCCTTCAAAGTAAGAATATAAAACTGAAAATATCAAACAGGGATTTTCATGCAAATGCCTTACACTTGTAACCGCTCCTATTTATTGCCTTCTCCTTCTGTTTGGATTACTGCAGATAACGTAGCTCATCAGCTGGGCAGAACAACAGCTCTTTTTTTCCCCCAACTTCTCTTCCTTATGAATACATCATTTAAGGATCACATTTTTGTGGAATAATTTGAGTCCCAGTTTAGGGTCGGAAGGGGGAGAACGTGGCCGGTGAGCATGACGCAGCCACTTCATGTCAGAACCAGGAAGGACCTCAAGGGAAAACAGTGAAAACCAGTTCAGAAGTGCTGCATTTGTGTGGGTTCTCGCCCTTGCAACCCATGCACGCTGCGAGTGAGAGCTTAGTCGTAGGACTTGTTAAGCAAATATTTAAAGGAAAATCTTGACTGCTCTATACAGTCAGCCATGTTCCCAAGGACTAACTGCAGGGAGGCAATTACCTAACTAACAGTATCTCACAGGCAAGTCTATGCTCATGCTGCTCTCTGTAACACCATATCACATTTTTCATTTGCAAAGTGCTATGGGCATCTTAAAATTTGCTGCTTTGTAATGGAGCCGCAATTCCTGTATCCGTTCCTAGTGGGAGTAGGCATTAACTGTAAACCATGCCATTTTAATGCAGAATGTTGGCAATGTTGCTGATTAACCCTTCATGTCTTTCAGGTGGGCTGCTAGGAATAAAACTACTCTTCAAAGCCTCAACATTACTCATATCCTTAATGCAGCAGATGGGCCATACAGCATCAATACAGGAGCCAAATATTACAGCGATCTGCAAATAGAGTACTACGGAATAGAAGCATTTGATGATCCTTCCTTTGATTTAAGTATTTTCTTCTATGATGCAGCCAATTTCATAGGCAAAGCCTTGAACACTTCAGGAGGTAAGAGGGAGGCAAAGAGAAGTTTTGGGAGGAAGTTTCAACATGAGCCAAATGGCTTCTCCTTATATTAACGGGGTGGACAGGAAAGCTCAGGTTCAGCGTGACATTATAAAGTACCTGCAGAACTATAGGAGGGAGGATGGAGAAGGGCACCACAGGGAGGCAGCACTGGCCCAGCCAGGCCGCTGGGAGGTGGGGATGGGGGGCTGCTCCAAACCCAGCACCCAAACTGCCAGCTCTAGGGGTGGAGGGAGAAGGAAGAGGAGAAATGTGGCCCTGCAGGTGCTCCCGGACACGTCTGTCCTGTAGGAATTTCCTCTTGCCAAAATCCGTATGCCCCCTTGCTTGTTCACATGCACCCCTTACACTGACTCCAGCCCAGCGATTTGCCCTGGGGACCACAGGGCAGCTCTGCTCCAGCTCCTGATGGCTTCAACTGGGGGCAGAGGCACTTGAGCACTGACTTAAATGCTTTACATGCTTAAGTGCTTTGCAGAATTGGAGCTTTATTCAGACTGCCTATTAAGCTACAGAAGCAGCACAAGTTAATGAACTAAGTCAAAAATGACGAGTCTGACCCACAGCCTGCTGGATTTTTGTCAGTAGAGTTTGGATTACGGCCTAGTTATCATAATTTCCATTTGTTCCAGAGTTTGCTCTGACTCTTGACTGGCTGTGAGAGCTTGCTGCTTTCACTGGTGTGCTTTATTAAATCCCTAGTTATAGCTCTCTGGACTGCTGAGATACAGTAAATTATGAGCCCATTTTTACAGGCAGACTGTCCTACAGTTTATGGGTCTTGTCGATAATCACAGCCAGGACTGGACCAAAATTTTCTGCCAAAACTTTTTCACAAAAAATTGCGATAACAAGTTTAGTCACAGAAAGCTTCTCCTTCCACAGAAAATTTCAACTATTTTAATTTGAAATCAAATACCTGAGAACTTGTATAGTTTGGGCAAGAATTTAACTTTTTTGATTTGGGAGCAGAGTAACCAGCCTGAAGTTCCTCTGCCCCCCTTTTCTGTTACAGTGAGAGCTCCTAACTGGACTAGACCTCTCCTGCAGTGTAACAGCCAGGGTATCCCCCCAGTTTGGGTTTTCAACCCAAAAAGCATCCTGGGAGCTACCCAGCCTGTAGATGGATAATGGAAACATGAGACTTCATAGGATAGTTCACCAACAGTTTTTTGAAAAACGCACCAGAATTCGAATGTACACTATCCTACCTCAAACCAACTAAGCAAATCTCCATAGCACTCTTTAAACTTTACATGGAAGAAAATCTCCATCACTGAATAGCCTTAGTCAGAGGGAACATATTCATAATGCTCTATTTCCTGTATGTAACTTCAGACCTCCTTTGTATAGCTAACATATCCTCAAGATAACCTATATTAGTAGCTTTCTTCTCGCTGCTAACTGTTTTTCAGAGGCCTACGTTAGATGCATGAAGCTTGTATGAATACCACCTTGCCTGAGATCTACGGCACAATCTTACAGGAATTGTCTGTGAAAAACTGAGCATCCACTAATTCTCACAGTTATTCTGCCAACTCGGTTCTAGCAGTTTTGGTTCTCCCTGTGTCTCTCAGTGTAGAAAGCCCACTCACCTTACCCTGTCTCTTCTTTTTGCAGGTAAAGTGTTCGTTCATTGTGCCATGGGGATAAGCCGCTCTGCATCTTTAGTGCTTGCCTTTTTAATGATCCATGAAAATATGACACTTGTGGATGCTCTGAAAACAGTGAGTTCTCACAGAGACATCTGCCCGAACTCAGGGTTCCTCAGCCAGCTCCGAGACTTGGACGTTAAATTAAATGAAGAGAGGAAAGGAAGCAGAGAATCTGCTAGCAAGGCATCATAAGAGTGTTGCTAAAAGAGAGAGGACAAAATGTTATCTGAGTTTCCTGTAGCTCTCTTAAATGAATTACATTTGCAAACTAAGGCTGTAAGTTTAAGATACACTGGACTACATGTTACTACTAAAAGTACATTTTACCTGATCTTTCCGTTTTGTGAAGCCAACCTTGATTATACTTATATTGGTTGGATATTGCATCCTTCACTCTCCACCTTAAAACATTGCTCTCTGCTGGTAAAAAAAGATATCAGGTTCCACTTCAGAAATAGCTGTGTTTCAGCCATGAGCAAAGCTCATATCAGTTTATGAAGTGTTAGCCTATTTGAGGTGAAAAATGTCATATTATTTATGCTGCAATAATGCTTAGAAGTTCTCTTATGAATGAGGGCCCCCCCCCTTTACACTCCATATCTAAAAAGGTTTGTATTTTGAGACTTGAATCTGGCACTGGTTAGGTCTTGCTTTTACAACTGGTGGAGCGCCCCTGAGTTGGGGGCTTAGAAGCAGAGCAGCTGGGAAGCAACACAAACCACTCTTTAAGAAATGATTCCTGTTCTAATTATAGTATTTTCCCTTTGACTGTTCATCAGATAGTTATTTGTTCTTTTTTTTTCCCTCCATGTTTGAGAGGACACTCAATTACTGCTCCTCTTCCCCAGTAAAAATCATCCAGGAGATGGAGAGGAAAGCGCTTCAGAAGAGGAAGGTGGGTTCTCAGCTGAGGCTCCAAAAAGATGCACAGGCAATGGGAGTGGGTGCAGGAAAGCATTTGACAACAAAACTCAGGGGTTCCCAAATTTGCCTGACAGTTCAACGTTATAAAATTTGTGATTTTCTTTCTCAAAAATAAAGGTCACTGGTGTCGCAACAGCATGTTCTGCTGCTTTGACATTTGCTTTTGTGAGGGGACGCAAGTGAAAACTGAAGGGATGCAGGAACGGCAGGGGAAGTGCTGACAGGCGTGAGACTTTCATCTTTATGTCTCTGGGCCACCATAGGAGCACTCAATAGCTACCGTCATCTGATGGATCAGTGCTGCCCGGAAACTATGTGGAGCACATCTGGCTCTCCATTCCCAGCAGACAAGTATTCCCAGCACAAAGCCAGCTCAGGGATGGCAGTGGTTTGCAATCCTGGTGCCAGACTCGGGAGTGCAAAGGCATGAATGCTCCCCACCATGGCAAGCTGGCTGTCCAAGAACAGAGGAGCAGCAAGCAAAAGAATTGCCTGATTGCTCCCAGCGCTGTCTGCAAGGCAGATTTCCGCCTTTGGGACAGATGGCTCAGCACCCTTTGTAACTCTCCAGGGCCACATCTGCTGGACGCGCCACGCAACAGGAGCAAGGGCATGGAGTAGATCAGTCGGTACCCATGACCTGACCCTCACACCATGGTGTTTCAAGGGGTTTTACTTTGGACTAGCGAATCCTGTGGACTGAACATCTGTGAGCAGCCCTGGAGTGCATCTTTGCTCTATTACCCTACATAAGAAAACCTGTTTGTGAGCTGTAGCGTTGCTCTATGAGGCGAACCAATGCACAGCAAGTAGCAACTATCAGGCAGTTCACCCCAAAAGTACGCTTCAGCCACAAATCAAAATGCTAATGTATACGCACGCCTCAATAAGATTTAACTCAAGAAACTTGCTTCAGCCTGCAGAATAAGAGAAAAAACATAGAGGCAGATTAAGCTATAGAGATGCCCCCAACCCCCAGTACAAGAACCACATTTTCTCACACTTCATCTGTAGGAAAACCCTCCTTGCTTTGGGAAGCAGCAGGACCGAGTCCAGGCAGGCATTCTGGCTGCTACACGCACCGTGCTGCTGAAAACAGGAGGGCCGGGGTGGGCGCAGCGCGGGGGTCGCCGCTGGGCCGCTCAGGGCGCCGAGCCACCAGCAGCGTGGGCCACGCTCCTTCCCTCAGCACCAGGGCATGAGAGCACCTGTAACTGAAATGCATTTTGTGCCATTAAAAACTCACTGTGTTTTTAAGGCACTGCTTGGCGCAACTGGAAAAAAATCAGCGTATAAACTCTAACGACGAAGTATTTCAAAGACAGAAGAAGATGCGGAATAGGAAGCTGCACCCACGGCCACTGATGCCAGGCTGGCTCCCCCCGACAGCGGGAGCGCTCC